AACGATCAGACTTGGCAGTGCCAGTATTGGTGCATGCAGGAGGCTGTCTGTGACCCCGTCAGAAGTCTTCTGATGTTCGATGTTCCAACACCATTCCGCATCCTTTTTAAGGAGATTGGATAATGGCCGGGCCATTTCTGCGTAATCACGCTGTACTTCTGCAAGAAGTTGGCGAGACCAAGCCACTTACGCAAGTCCTTCTGGTTCTTTGGAACCAGCCAGTCTACAATGGTCTTGACCTTAGCATGTTCCCGAAGAAGCACCCTACAAAGGAAATCTCTTCTGTGCCAAAGATGCACTTGTCTGTGTTGGCGTACAGTTTGTTTGTGCGCATGCACTCGAGTACCGCTCTTAGATGGATGATGTGGTTATCCTCATCGATATTCCCTTGCTTCGCAAAGACTATGAATGAACATGTCGTCAAAGTATGATTTGCATACGCCTTGTGGGGTCTGAACCACTGCGTCACAAGAAGTTTAAATAATGCTGGTGCCTTTGACAGCCCTTGAAGCATCACCAGCCACTCCTAGAGCATGCCGCTCGGAGTGCTCACCGCTGTCAGCGGAATATTACGCTCGCATGAGCAATTGGTAATACCCATCGACCAAGTCGAGTGCACTGTACTTCGTACATCCCACCATGTTGTTCTGACGAACATCCTTTCTAGGAATCGGCATCTGTGCCGGAATGGTGGCAGCGTTAAGCTTATTGTAAGCATGAACGATACGCCACTTGCCGTTCGGCTTCCGAACCCAAAACGTGGGTGTCGATTGGGGAGACTTGCTCTCACGACCATCCCTGCGTCGTGTTTCGCATGGAAAAAGGCATCAATGACGTCACACTGGTCTTTGGGCAGGGCCATTGGCGTGTTACGCAGTATTTGGTTCCCGGAACAAGGTCGATTTCATGACGCACACCTCGGTCCGGAGGTAGGACCGAAGGCGGGTCTTTGGAGACGACGTCTTGAAATTCCTTTGTCAAAGATAGTACGGATACAAGGGATTCCGTAGGATCGACGATCCACTTCGTGCGTTCAGCACTCTCTTGTTTGCCTCCAAGATAGCTTCTTCCAGAAGCAATGACGAGTTTTACTCCTCGTCCAGGCGTACAACGACCACTTCGGTCAAATCGCCTGCCTCCAAGGCACTGCCGAACTCTTCAAGGGACATCTCGTCCAGCTCAAGAAGATCATCCACTGCAGGAATAGCCTCGAGGCGGACGTCACTGTCTTCCTCTCCCCGTCATACCGTTGACGAGTGTATAACTGGGCAGCATCATCTACGGCAGATACACCTTGGATCAGGGTCGACGCCCGACGTCTTGCAACCAGCATACGGCGTCGCCGTCGTCTCTGTACAGAGGTTCTATGTCTCGGTGAGAGCAGGGTGGACACGCACTCCGCGTTGTCACCCTCACTGTCCGCTCCTTTGGAGCTCCGATGTTATCTACAACATCCGACGAA